GCAATTGTAATGTTGCAACTTTACTCTCGTAACTTTATGACTTTGTTCTCGTTGTGACTTTATTCTTTTATCGTGCGACTTTTTATCGTACTTTCGTGACTTTATTCTAGTTGCGACTTTATTTTCGTAATGTTGCGACCTTTTTTCTCACTTTTTTGACTTTATTCTCATTGAAATTGTAATGTTGCAACTTTACTCTCGTAACTTTATGACTTTGTTCTCGTTGCGAGTTTATTCTTGTAATGTTGTGACTTTTTATTGTACTTTTATGACTTTATTCTCCTAATATTACAAGTTATTATTATTCTGAAATTAAAAACAAAGAAATTCTCCAGCCTGGCCCTAATACTCCATCGTACTGTCAGCAACTTAACGCCTTTGCCATGCTGAGGTGAATGAATCATCAACGCAGACAGAGCTTAAGCAATGGAACACAACAACAAGTTATAGATCTGTTCTCTTAATTGTCTATAGGCTTTAACAGAAGTCTATGTATATGATGTATATAAGTGGTGAAAATAGTGTCTCAAAGTTTCAGTGCCTTAGGGTTTTTAAATATGTTACTGCTACTAAACTATCATTGGTTTTTATGAAAGTAAAGCCTTATATGTCATAAAGACGCAAGGCAGATGAGCAATAACAGGAAAGAGGTTTAAAAAGGGGAGAAAATAAAGTGTTTAAACTGACACACCGTTGCGCTTTGCCATGGCATGGGAAAGCAGAATGCATTATCCAACTGTTGCAAATGAAATGAATGCTTCTGCATTCAAAGCAGCTTGTTGACAGAGTTTCTAATAGAAGAGGCAGAATAAGCAGGGTACACAGCAGGAAATGCATCCAGATCCTCAAAAAGACAGCTGCAGTTTTGCATCAGAGGTCAACATCCACCACAAGGAAACTGTGGTGAGAGACGGCCCTCTCTGGGACTCATGAGGGTTACTTTTTGTATGAGCACAAGGCTGTTGTTTCATTGACACATTTACAAGAAAAAAGCTTTTGCTATTACTGTGCATTCTCCCAGTAGGAGGTTTATGTTTCATAAGAAGGAAGAGCATGGTAAGGAGGGGAACTTTGTGATGTTTCTTACTGGTTACTAAGCAGCCAGCCCCAATATTAGGGTATTCTAAACTCTGGGATATCATGCAGGAAGTTGACCTCACAGAAAGGGACACGCCGGAGGATGTGACCTCATGTAAAGTGATGGTTTAACAGGGCCTTTATTTTCCCTTTGCTCCAGCTATTGATCTCCTCCACCTCCTTGTGGGAACTGAAAGACGTAAAGAGGAAGCGTGGCGCTGAGAGAGGGTGAGGCGAGGGATGTATTCCACATAGCTATGACACCTCTAGCATTTATGATTGAGGCTTTGCTTCAGACAAGTCCATCGACTACCCATTAGTTTACATTCCTGAGCAAAATTCAAGTTTTCTTCCTTTTTTAAATCATTAGAATCAAATTGTGGATGTTTCTAGTCTCTCTGGGGTCATGGAAGCTGCTCTATATTTACACATCCTACGTCATGGAAACTTGGGTACTAGTTGTGAAAGTGTGATGTGAAAAAAAGGCCTATTAGTTCTGCTTTTCATATGAGCGGGTTATTTTTATCACCATTGTCTGGCCTCTATTTACAGCACATTCAAATGATAACTTGAGGGGGCTTTGAATTACCACACTCATTTGCACTGACAAAAAAAAAAAAAAAAGCCACAAATTTAATATGTTTCTGGAATTTGCCTTTTGGTCTGTAGATTGAATAATTAGAGCCGACGTTGTTCCCTTTTCTGTTTTTCTTGGCAGCTACTTTAATGTGTGCGAGTGTTTGCCAGCTCTGATGGTAGCAGCGAGAACGCGTCACCTGTGAGAGGATCCAAGCGCCTCACCATGACAGAGGTCCAGGTAAGGACGGCCTCTTGACACCAAGCTCTGGTCTTTGTCAAAAATCAGCTGGTATTTCTAACAGACTGTCCACCCCTAATGTTGCAGAGTCCGTGGCCACAGGGCACAGAGTGTGTGGCAAGGTACAACTTCAAAGGCACGTCGGAGCAGGATCTGCCCTTTAACAAAGGAGACGTTTTGACTATCATCATTGTCACAAAAGTAAAGCTATGATCCTGTGGAGGTTAACTGTCACAGCAAAACATTCATCGCATGAATGATGTTCTCCAATGCTGATGTTTTGTGTTTTTTTTAGGATCCCAACTGGTACCATGCTAAAAACGCTGCTGGCCAAGAGGGAACAATCCCGGCTAACTATGTGCAGAAAAGAGAAGGTGTGAAATCTGGAGGCAAACTGAGTTTAATGCCGTAAGTAAACGCATCATTTAGCATCTTAAAGTCGAAGGGAAGCGGCTTTTCCAACCGTTGCAGTTCTGAATTCCTCACACAAGCATGCTTAGTGTAAGGGATTGTATTTGAGTCAATGAGTCTATGCAATCAACTGGTTTTCCTTAGATAGAAAACTTATTAATTAATTTGACTGGATGATCTGGTTGAACTGTAAAGTGCCTTGAGATGACATGTGTTGTGAATTTGGCGCTATATAAATAAACTGAATTGAATTGAATTGAGTGGTGCCCGACTTTACATGACTGAATTAAGTCAATGTAATTGGTCGATTATCAAGGAGGCGGGATTGTTGTGGCGGAAGGTTCGCAGGCAAGTTTGGTTTTGGCCGGTTTGTCGGAAGCATCTTGCTAACCAGTTATTAACTTAGTGCTAGCAGGTTCCCAATGGGAAATTCCATTGGGACCAAGTAGCACTAAATTGGTGACTTAGAAACG